TCCCGGCGGCACTGTCGGGATACGCTCCCGGATACATCCCGGCTCCACCGGGTTATGTGCCGGCCTTCCGTTAAAAAAGTTTTTTGTATTCATTTTGTATTCACTTCATAATATCTTATATAATATAATTGTATCTTAATAATTGTATCTTATCTAATATATATATTATACTTGTAATAAAAAAAATTTGTAACAATTATTATTTGAACCTCTCTTATTTATGTAAAAATGTAAAAAAATCAGGGTTGAGACAGTTACTTTATAAAAGTAACTAGTTACAGTTACAGTTACTCGAAAAGTAATGAATCGTTACTTTGCAGTTACTCCCTTGCAATACAAATAAAAATATCGAATCTGCATTTCAATTGTAAAGCGGCAATAAAGGCGTTTATGCGCAAATGCAAGGCCTAATGCGATCTGTGGAGGTTGAAAATAGTTACGAGTTATCGAAAAAATGTAACTGAGAAGTTACAGTTACAGATATAGCGAAAGTAATACAGTTACCAAAAAGAAGTAACTGCAACTTCGTTACAAGTAACGAGTTACTTCCAACCCTGAAAAAATTACATATTACATATACACATATGTGTAAAGGCCTGTGTCCACGATGCTAGAACTTGATCCGGGTTCTAGCTCCGAGAAATGCGTAGCCAGTCAGCTTGCAGCTTTTATGAAATAGCTGAAAGTTGATTGTGTGGCCACACATTTCTCGAAACTAGAACTCGGACCAAGTTCCAGCATCGTGGACACAGGCCTTAAAAAAAGAAATTACACAATTACCCAGATAGCACAAGACACTCCTATAAACATTTTAAGAATATTCTTCAAGAATATTTGGAATATCCCATAGGTCATTCTTATATTTATCGTATGTTCATAGAATATTCGACTGGCACTACTATAAATGTTTTTCAAATGTGAATAGAATAATCTATCGAATATAGCGTGTCGGTTATACATGGTATGATCACAAGTTTTACTGCCTTTTGCATAAGATAAGTGTATTACACAATAAACAATGCGCAATACATAAACTCGATAAATATTTAAACATTATTCTGAACAAATATTCCAAAGACATTCTCGACGAATATTCTGAAAACGTTCTTCTTTGTTATGAACATACGATTTCTAATTGTAATAATCTATATATATTTCTAGAATATTCAATTGGAATATTCTGAAAATATTTGCACTCCAAAAGAATATTCATAGAACTATGTGTGCTATCTGGGTATAGAACGGTACCGACATTATAGGGGTAATATATGTACACACACATACACATATTGTTTTTGAAAATGTTTTATATAGACTAAATAACTATTTAAATTAAGTTATTTATTTATGAAAAATTTATATAAGTATTGTAAAGTGTGATACATTTGTTATTCGAGTATAAATAATAACCGGACTTGACAAACATCAAGATATTGCTACTCGTCTTTATCATTCTGCGCGTATATGAAAGAAAGAGACCA